CCTGCTCCTCACCAGGGCTAAGCCAGCAGCATCAATAGGGATACCCAGAAACTCAGCAGGGATATCTGGTCTAGCACAAGCAGTCACACACATGCACCTATACTTGTTGCTACTGAGTTTTCGGGCAAACCCTGATACTCACATTCAACTTTCTCATCCCTGGACAGGCTGCTCCAGTCTGCCTTCTCCTTCTCCTTCAGGGCCTTCTGGCTGGCAGACAGCTGCTTGACATGTGCCACATCGGGCAAGGGGTAGTCACGCCGATCAACATAACTAGGGAGAGCATAATCTTCACTCTTCACAACACTCCCTAAAACACATTGGATGAATCTGAAAACCCATGTGGGTAAAGTCCAGGCAGAAGGGTGATTGCAGGTCAACGGTTAAATGGAAGCACTTAACCTAACCAAACCCTCAGGTTTATAGTCACTAGAGGTGGGATCAGGGCTGAGGGTTATTTACTGGACAGGCAATTGGACTAAAAATGAAGTCCCAACTGCAGGGACTCATGTACAGAACACGAAACTCAAAAAAGGAAAGGCAGTTGCTGCAGGGTACAGTGATAGCCCACTGAGACTCCAGAGACCACTCAGAAACTGTGGGTCTGATACAAAAGGTGTCAACACGGAGTCACCTACTCATTTGTTGATTAACAACTTACCAAGTACCTACTGTTCACTAAGGAGGCTGGCTCTATACATATGGGACTGTCAGCAAACAACCGAGCATTCCTACCTAACCATGCGCTTACATTCTGTAAGTGAGAAACAAGCAAGACCTAACACACGGAGTCACATGCTAGGAATGCACATGTGGCAGGATCCTGAACTTACCAGAGGAGGTCGCCCTGGAAACTCCAAGGGAAGAACGATGTGCTCAATAAGCAGAGCCAGGTAGGTTCAGTTCTGCTTTCCTTCCAATTTATGCTCACTTAATACTCACCAAGTCAAGTCAGCCCAAACTGAGCAGTGGAAAGAGCCAGAGCTGAGTGGAGGCTCTTTCTTGCTACTCCACTGCATCACGCGAGCATGCACCTGTGCATCCCACAGGACACATCAGGACAAAGCTCAGGCTACAGGAAACAAGTTGGATTGTCCCCTCATGGTTTCCTGCTGCTAAAAGTTCTAACTCTGTCCGACCTGTCTTAGGGACAAAGCCTTGATGAAATACGTTGCTCCCCATAAGCTGAGCCCCATGCCTAAACCTCCCAGATCATGTTGGTAAACATCACTAAGCCTTAAGCAAGGCTATGATCCTTCCAGGTGTTTATTTGGTGCACAAAAGACCAGTGAGAGTCTGTTCTGTTTAACCTCATCCCAAACGAATCTGAACCAAAACAGCCAGAATTACTTTTCCATTTTAACTCTTAGCATCCCATAAAGCTGGGCATGATCGCACATGCCTCTAATACAAGCTCTTGACAGGCTGAGACAGAAGAATTGCAAGTTCGAGACCTGCCTGAACTACATAGGGAAAAACCATCTCAAAGCACAGGGAAGATGCTCAGAAAAAGAAAGGCAGCTACTGAACACTTCCACCAAGTTCAACACACCCCACCCAAGCCCTATTTCTCCAGGCATAAAACACTTGTACTTTACATCAAAGTAGATGTAAATTAGAATGAGAATGTCCTTGAACTAACCATGGTGATAATAGCACATACCAGCAACTATACTAAAAACAATGAGAAGCATCCAATTTAAGCAAATCAATATATTGTGTGAATTACAGCTCAGCTATTAGACTGCCATAAACTCTCATGGTCTCAGAATACACTAGCCATAAAATGGCGTATTCTAGACCAAGAGTGGTTAACATATTTTCTAGGTGCACTTCAGAGTTTCGTGCTTATCCTTGGATCAGAGAAAACCAAAGGCTCACAAGCCAACCACTGTCTTAAAAGAGACAGAGGGTCCCGATCCCACAGTCTACTTCCTCCTAGATGCAGCCACTTGTGCAAGACCAGGTGCCACCATGCCCAAGTGTTCCAAGCGTGACAAAGAGGTGTATTTGCTGAATGACCTCACTAGGTAAAGACTGGCATCACCCACACCTGAAGCGTGAGAAATATGGTAAGACGCTGACCTCTGGGGTCTATGCTGAGCATGAAAGACAAGCCCTACTACAAGCAACCTTGCTATGCAGCCATGTTTGGGCCGAAAGGCTTTGGGTGAGGTGGAGCTGACAGTCTTACTTCCAAGCAGACCCAGGTTGTGGAAACCCTCCTCCCTGCCTAGGCACATGCCAGGTCTTACCCTTGGACATCAGGGGTTCCCAAAAGCCCTTCACACCCTAAAAGCTGAATCTTTCAGAGGAAATTAAAAAAATATTAAAAGGGAGACAGAAGCAAAGATTTTGAATTCAATAAGGTCACTTCTGTTCTCAACCAAGATGAGTTTTGCACAGCTTGTGAGATCTGTTAGGTCTCAGCTCCCTTCTTGTTCTCGCAGTCACACTATGAAGACCTCAACTGACAGCAGTGCCCCAGTGGCGTTCCACCACACCCTAGTACTGTAAGCATATGCTAACCATGGAGGGCTCCTATGAGGGTTAATAAAGGAAGAGTTTTCCTTTTCCAAACACCTTTCACTAATGCTCAGCCTGCGTCCACGGTGCCAGACTAAACAGTGCGCCTCTGGGACTCTCACTGTCTACCACTGCCTTCATCTCACCAGCCCACTCCACAACTGCGAGCTCCTTGGGGAAGGTCCACCTCTCACATTATCTTCTCAGTATTTAACACCACTACAAAGAGTATGCTTCGTGAACGCAAAGCGAAAATGCTGCTGAGCCAATCTCAGAACTAAAACCTTGTGTGTCTGTACATTTCAGGTGAGAAGGTAGATGCTTAGACTTCAGGAGCTAGTCCATGACAGCAATGAAATCCAAACACAGCTCAGACCCAAGCCCACCTTTGCTTCCATTGCTTCTGTGACGCCAACAGAAGGGGACTTGAGAAGTTTAGAGTGGGAAAAGAATTCAAGTCAGATATGGAGACGCTCTCTAGAAGGGACAGAACTTTACATGTATGGTAATGCATCTTTAACCCCAGCATTCAGAAGGCAGAGCAAAGAACCCCGGGAGGTCAAGGCCAGTCAGAGCTACACGACAGGGAAGGAGGGGAAAAAGGAAAGAAGGGCATCTTTTTTTAAAACCCCACCACACTTTTAGAAATAAAGCAAAGAAAAAACAGCCACAATTCACAATCCCAGAGAACCTAGACAATAATGCGGGCCCTAAGACAGACATACATGGATCTAACGTACAAGGGAAGTAGAAAAAGACAAGATCTCAATTGGGAGCATGGGGACCTTAGGAGAGGGTAAAAGGGGAGGGGAGAGAAAGGGAGACAAGATCTCAATTGGGAGGGAGCATGGGGACCTTAGGAGAGGGTAAAAGGGGAGGGGAGAGAAACGGAGGGGAACGGAGAAAAATATATAACTCAACTAAAACAATAAAATAATGATAATAAGCAACAACAAAAATTAAAACCCTACCACAGTGTCTTAGACATAGGAGCAAAATGACATTAAGTTAATCTATTTGGAAGTAAAAGTTCTTAGCTAGGCATGGTGGTACACGCCTTGAATCCCAGCACTTGGGAGGCAGAGGCAGAGGCAAGCAAATCTCTGAGTTTGAGGCCAGCCTGGTCTACAGAGTGAGTTCCAGCACAGCCAGGGCTAATAGAGAAATCCTGTCTTGAATAACAAAACAAAACAGATAGACAGACAGACAGAAAAGTCTCACTTCACTTACCATGTGCTCGAACACACACCGAGGTGGAAATGGCTCTCTTGCCAATTAGGCTAAGTGTCCTTGCAGCCAACATTCTGAAAGACAAAAAACGTACACTTCTAACAATGAAAGAAAACACCTTTTAGTGTGCTTCTTGCCATAGAGCACTTATGAGCTACATGCAACTCATTCTTCCAACGTTAAATGATTTTTTGTTGCTATGATTTCATCAGACTTTTAAAGCACAGGCTGCTGGCCTGTGTGGCTTGCACCCTATCCTCCTCTACCTCATAAGAGCTCGCATTACAGGCCAGCAGCACGCGCCCAGGATCCGTTTTTATAACCGATGCGGACGCACGAAGTGGCGCAGGATGAGTTGGGTTTTCTTAGTCTGCATTTACAGAGCGCCCCGGATCAAACCAAGGGCTGTAATATACGGCTTTGGCCAATGAATCAAAAACTCGGCTTCTTAAGAAACAATTAGACAAAATTACTAAAATAGCGAGAACTCGACAGAGCACACGGTGCAGCCACGAGCTGTTCCTCGCGCTGGCGTTGGAAACACCGCCCGCAACTGGATTTTACTTAGAAACGACTCGCGCGGAGACTACGGAAGGGCAAGCGGAGGAGGGAGGAGGCCTTCCAGGCCCTGGCCCACTTCCCGTCCCTGCGGCCCACAGGCGATCTCGATGACCCTGTCGCCCGCCCCAGCGACCGGAGCTGCAGGCCTCACTTCTGCACAGCCTCTCGGAGACACGCTCCCCGAGAAAGGACGCCCGGGGCGGCAGAAACCGTAGCGTGACGTCAGGGCTCGGCTGGCCGCGCCTAGGGCCTGGTGGAGCGGGAGCGCAAGAAGCGGGCCAGGTCCTAGCCGAACTAGCCAGCGGGGACCCAGGAAAACAGACCCGCCCGGGAAGCGGGCGCGCCAAGGTCACTGAGCGGCTCAAGTCCCGGTCCCGCGGGCGCCTCAGCGTCACCGCTGCCGCCCCGACGCTCCAACTCGTCGGCCCCCGGCCACGCCGCCCTCACCCGCTGTCAAGGGCCGACACCCGCTGTCACCTGCCACCTCTGCCCTAGCGACCGCCTCGACCGCCCTCTACACCCCGGCAGCTCGCGACCGGAAGAGCAGGGCCAGCACCGGAAGTGCAAGATGGGGCCGCGGAGCACCGCGGGATCGAGGAAGCCCCTCCCACACGCGTCGGGCCGGGGGCGTGGCGCCGCAACTGTCGCGAAAAGCCGCGCGGGTTACGCTGCTTTCCGGCAGGCGCTGGCAAATACGCTTTCCGGCGGGCGGGTCGAGGAGGGAGGTTGCTAGTGGAGGCGTGAATTTGCCTTTGGGTGCAACGCGGTCGTGTTTTGTACCTTGGGGGCCTCCTTGGCGAAGTGAGCACCCCGACTCAGCATGCCGGGCGTGAAGCTGACTACACAGGCCTACTGCAAGATGGTGCTACACGGCGCCAAGTACCCGCACTGCGCGGTCAACGGGCTTCTGGTGGCCGAGAGGCAGAGGCCGCGCAAGGAGCATCCGCCGGGCTCAGGCAGCCACACTCTCTTCGTGGACTGCATCCCGCTTTTCCACGGCACGCTGGCCCTGGCGCCCATGCTGGAGGTGGCACTCACCCTGGTAAGCTCGAGGTCAACGCGGGATTCTGGGCTGGGCGAAGTCAGGTGCCCTTCTTTCGAGAGGCGTCTCCTCTTGGGTAAGCAAGGTAACGTGCTCTCACGGTTTTGTAAAATTACCAAGAAACCGAGTGTGGTGTGCATTCTTCAAACCTGCGCTCGGGACATGAAGGTGGGTGGAGCTCCGTGAGTTCGAGGTCAACCTGGTCTACGTAGAGATACCTGTGATAGTTAACACTGCATTTAAAGTTTAAACTAAGCTTGAGTAACCAAAAAGGAAAAAAAGCCTCAAGCATGTAAACCCCTAGCATGGCTGTACCCTGTATCCTACCCCAGACGGTGAAGACTAGTTTTTAAATCGACTGATCTTGAAGAATTTGCTCTTCTAGCAAGCTAGTAGGTCATAAAACTATTCCTGCTTTTGTAATCAAACTTGGCTTTCTCTGCTCAAAAAATAAACCCAAAATTATAGCTTTGTGATTTTTGCCTTTATAAGCCCTGGGCTGATAATGGCTAGGTGCTACGTCTCGGGCACTCGCTCAGATGAAGACCTGATGCCAGTGCAAGTCAGTCCTCGTGCCAGTATCTCAGTCAAAAGCTCCATCTTACCAAAATGTATTCATGAATGACCCCAGACCCATAACAACTCTGCCTCAAAGAGGTAAATAAACAAAAGTTGAAGTAAACAGTAACCCCTCCTTAAGAGACTTTAGCCTGCCTGAGCATGGCCGCCATGACCCTGGAGGCTGAGTTTGCCCTTCTCCCCCATTCTCTCTGCCTTGCTAAAGACTGTGAGATTCCATTCTCGCAGCTTGCCTGAGCAGCAGCACTCACCACAGCTCCGTTTACATCTCAGATTGAGCTCTGAGATGAAACAAGAGCTGGCAGGGGTGACGTGCCACTTCTGGCCGTCCCCGCCCCCCAAAATTTTCTAAACGTGTAGCCCAGACTAGCCTTGAACTCTCAATACTCTTCCTGCTCAGTTCCTGAGAACTCATGAACAAGCATGCCTTGCCATCTGTTCATTTTGTTTTTTTGGAAAGGGTTTCACTTTTGTAGCCCTGGCTGGTCTGGAACACTATGTAGACCAAGCTGGCCTCCAAAATACAGAGGTCAGCCTGCCTCAGTCTCAAGTGCTGGGATTAAAGATGGTCACCACTGTGCCTCTCTCATCCTTTTCTTAATTTACATTACAACATTACAACACCAAGGGAAATGTCTTACCAACTATAAGTGCCTTTAGGTGATTGTCTTAAATTTACCGAGCATATTTTTTGAGTATTTTGTTGTTGTTGTTTTGGTTTGATTTTGATTTTTTGAAACAAGTTTTCTCTTTAGCTTTGGGACCTGTCCTGGAACTAGCTTTTGTAGACCAGACTGGCCCCAAACTCGCAGAGATCAGCCTGCCTCTTGTCTCCCAAGTGCTGGGATTAAAGGTGTGTCACCACTGCCCAACAAATTTTTTGAGTGTCTTAAAAAATTATTGCATGTATTTTGTTTTTAAATTTTAGATTCTTGGGGGCTGGGCAGATATGTGGGTGATATTTATAAACTCGTGAATTTTAGTTTCTGAAGAAGTGTACTTTTGGTACCTGAAGCATGGCTGAGGATTCCTATGCATTTTCCAGGTCAGTCTTGTTCAGTTAGCAAAGAAGTTGCGGGTGACTTAATATTGCAGGTTTCTCAGGCTTGAACCCAGGACTGGGTTAGACTTGGATCTGCAGTGGGCTGACAAGCTCTATACAAAAGAAACAGCAGCTAATAGCGGGGTTGGGGAGGTGGCTGAAGCACTTGCTGCTCTTGAAAGGAAGAGGTAGTTCCTAACACTCAAGTCAGGTACCTACAACTATCTCTAACTCCATCCCCAGATCTGACTCCCTCTTATGACTTCTGTGGGCACTGTACTCACATGCCCATACCCACACAAGAGGCAGGCAGATTGCTGAGCCATAGCACATGCCTTTAATCCCAGCACTCGGAAGACAGAGGCAGGCGGATCTCTGTGAGTTTGAGGCCAGCCTGGTCTACAGAATGAGTTTTAGAACAGCCACAGCTACATAGTGAGACCATGTCTCCAAAAAAGAAAGAAAGAAATATAAAATAAGATTTTTTTCCCACCTTAAAAAAATCAGTTCATCCGGGCTGGAGAGATGGTTCAGAGGTTAAGAACATTGCCTGCTCTTCCAAAGGTCCTGAGTTCAATTCCCAGCAACCACATGGTGGCTCACAACCATCCGTAATGGGTCTGGTGCCCTCTTCTGGCCTTCAGGCATACACACAGACAGAATATTGTATACATTTTTTATATATACATATATATATGTGTATATATATATACATTTATATATACATATATATTTATATATGCATACATATATATATATATTTAAAAAATCAGTTCATCCAAGCCTGGGGGTTAGGATAGTCAGGATGTTTAAGCCAGCCTGCCACCCCAGGCTTTGTGACCTACCCTGGGGCCTTTACAGGCACCAGGAGGTTCTGCCTTTCTCAATCTCCACTTCAAGCCCAAATCCACTTTTCAACTTTTAGCATCAGGAGTTCATTTGACTGTCTTAGACTCTTTGCACCAAATGCTCTGCCTATTCTCTCTTGGTGCTACTCTCCTGCTGTATCCCTGAGACAATGTGGAGCCTCTGAGGCCATGGACTGTCCTCCCTCGGGCTCTTTGTTGAATCCATCCTTTCATCTCCTGCCAGCCTCTAGTCTCAAAACGACCCTTATCCTCTGCAGCAGGCTACGGTTCCACTTGAAGACCTGCAGTCTAACAGGACCTCCCCAGACTGGTGTTCGGTCTGTCCCCAGGATGTGGCCCCCATTCCCACTTCTTTTCCCTCCCAAACACCCACCCCAACTGTCCCCACTACTATTCCTCCTGCAGATGCCCCTGCTCTGAGTATTCTCCCCCACCCACGCTGGGACTGTCTCACTAGCCCCCATTGCAGCCATAAATTGAGTTTATTAAATTTGTGGTGTTTACTTTTCAACCATGCAACCTTGTACACCAAAGGCTGTGAGAAGTCTCTGGGTTTGAAGCCTGCTACTGTTAAAATATGACTGTGGAAGTTTTAACAGCCGCAGGACTTATGCAGCTGTGTCTATGAGACCCCCCACCCATCCTGGTGGCTCCCTCTGCTGGGGAGCACACACTGAAATGATTGTTGAACATGGGAAAGCTTAGCTAGCCAATTTCTAACATGCAGTCTGGCAAAGGGCAATGTGAGAGTCCTTTAAAAGGATTTCTATTATTATTTTCCATTTTTTAAAAAGTCCTTGCATTTCTGGGTGCTTTTCATTTGTTTAAGTACTTATGCCTATTATTTATCCTCAGCCCTTTGACGTAGGTAGTGAAGGAATTACCTCAAATAGCAAAAAAAAAAAAAAAAACATAAAAGTGTTGGTAGGAAAATTAGCATAACCCTGTTTCTCTAAGCCCGTTGTCTTTTTCTCGTGCCTTGATTTCTGCTGCTCTGGGCAATTCTCTGTACATTCTGCTCAGATGACTTTCTTGCTTACCATGGTGTGATTTCAGGCCAGTGTTCTTCCTGCCGTCTCCATTCCATGCTCCACAGCTGTTGCCCCATCTGCCCTGGGTGTTCTTCCTCAGCATATGACCCCTCTTCCCTGCTCATTAGCCTCCCAAGCTTCTCTTTCAGGGAAAAGTCACAGCTGACCTGAGAAGGAAACTCAGGAAAACTCAGCCAAGGCTTGCTTCTTGCTACAAACAGGGAGTTTTACTGGATGACCCTCCGTTTGGTCATGTGGGATCAGGAGGGAGGGAGACGCTTAGCCTTGCCCATTCTCCTGTTGTTATGGAGTCACCTGAGGTAGATGGTGATGCTTACATAGAATGTTAGCAGGCTTGCAGAGAGGGGCCACCTCTGCAGAGTCAACAGGAATCAAGGGGTTGACCCTGGCCCCTCAGCAGGTCTCCCATGTGACTGGCTCCGAACAGCATAGAGGACATTAAGCAGAGGGGGCAGGTCACACCCCGTAATTGCTTTCTCCTTCCCTGTGAAGGATATGGTGTCTGTATCAGTTCTGTGTTTGCTGCTCCTCTTGTGGTCTCACAGACTCCATTTTAGGGGCCTGGGTTTCAGACAGCCGTGCCAGGAAGATGGACATGAGCAGAGGTCAGCTTCAAGGTTGTGCTTTGTCATGGCCCGCTTGGGAGGGGCAGGTTACTTGACTGTGTGCCGCCACTCCAGGCTACCCCCACTTTTCATAGGACACATGGGCTAACTCTGGTCTGAGGCTTCTGTATTCCTGGACACTGCAAAGCCCTGTCCAACAACCTATCCCCATCCTCACTCATCTGAAGCTGCCCTCATCCATTTTTTAATTTTGCCTTATTTACTTAGGGGCTAGAGAGATGACTCCATAGTTGAGAGCACTTGCTGCTCTTCAGTGGACCCAGTTTGGTTCCCAGCACCTATGTCAGGTGGCTCACAATAGTTCATGACTCCAGTTCTAGGAAGGCTGACGCCTCTGGCCTCAACAGGTGCCTGCATTCCTGTACACATACCTACACATAATAAAAACTAGTAAGTCTTTAAAAAATAAATTTTTATTTTGTGTGTATGGGTGTTTCCCTTCATGTATGTTTGTGCACTCTCTGCGTGCATGTGGTACTTATGGGAGCCAGGATATCAGAAATCACCTAGGAGTTACAGTTGTGAGACACAGCGATAGGTGTGGAGAATTAAACCCAAGTCCTCTGCGAGAGTAGCCAGTGCTCTAACCACTTGGTCCTCTCTTTGGTCCTTCTTTCCCTGTTAAAACATGTTTCCCTGCCTCTGAGCTCTGGTGGTGCAGGGTCTGTTCCTCGGTTAGTGGAGAGGCCATGTGCAGGTCTGTGTTGGTGGAGACGTGTGCACAATGTAAAAAAAAATGTTGCATTTCCTAAAGCCAAGGTGGGACTTTTATGGCCTGGTTTGCTTTAAACCTCCCCACAAGGTCTAGAAGTTCTAGGTCACAGCATTATTTCTCCCACTGATTTGGTTAGGTTCCTGGGATCTTCACATTGGCCTGTGTCGTCAGCAGATATAGGCAGGTTGAAGCATGTGTTAACATTTGTCACAGGTATCAGTCCCGTGTCAAGTGCTGTCTGTGCCCAGGTTCAAGATGGTACCATGTATGTTTGAGGCAGATGTGAGTCCTGGACCTTTTGGCCAAAGAGCCAGATTTGACAGCTCGCTGAAGGCTGATGCTGTGCTGTTGGGGAGTAAATTTGCATTGCACCCCAGTAGTAAGTACAACAGAGTTGTGGGCGGAGAGATTGTCCCTGCTTCTCTGTGTCAGACCAGAGTAAGAATAGGGATTGGTAAACAAGTCAGTGGGTAATGTGTGAAGGCAAGCAGACAGGAGGATGTGACTGTAGGCCTAAGAAGGCTAGAAAAGGGGTGTCCAAAGCTCATAGAAAGAACCAGCCTTGCCATGGGATATCTTATACACTGTAACAATTTTGTCATAAGTAAAACACTGATTGGCCAGTAGCCAGGAAGGAAGTATAGGTGGGGCAATCACACTAAGAGAGTTCTGGGAAAAGGAAAGGCAGAGAATCAATCATCAGTCAGACAAAGAAGAAGAAAGATGCCTTACTGAGAAAAGATACCAAGCCACGTAGCTAAACAGACAAGAATTGTGGGTTAATTTAAGTTGTAAGAGCTAATTAATAATAAGCCTGAGCAACTGGGTGGTGGTGGTGCACACCTTTAATCCCAGCACTTGGGATGCAGAGGCAGGTGGATCTCAGTTCGAGGCCAGCCTGGTTTACAAAGTAAACTCCAGGACAGTCAGGACTGTTACACAGAGAAACCCTGTTGTGGGAGCTGCGGGCCTGCTTTTCATCCCGCCCGCCCGGCTCCCACATGGCTAGCTTTACACCAGAAATAACAACACACAAATTGTATTCTTTTAAACACTGCTTGGCCCATTAACTCTAGCCCTTACAGGCTAATTCTCATATCCCAATCAACCCATCTCTAATAATCTGTGTAGCATCAGTCTTACCGGGAAAGATTCAGCATGTCTGACCTGGCAGCTTGCTTCATGGCGTCTGCCCGGGAGAGGGGAGCATGGCCTCTGCTCCAGAGAGCAGAGCTGTCGAGTCTGAGCTCACTTCCTCTTCCTCCCAGCGTTCTGTTCTGTTTACTCCACCCACCTATGTTCTAACCAATAAAATGGGCCAAGGCAGTTTCTTTATTAGCCAATGACCTTCCTCCATCAAAACCCTGTCTTGAAAAACCAAAATAATAATAATCATCATAATAATAAAAATAGACCTGAGCTAATAGGCCAAACAGTTTATAATTAAGCTTCTGTGTGTTTCTTTGGGACTGAATGACTGCAGAACCAGGCAGGACAGAACCTTCCTACATAGCCTCATCCCCATTGTAGACCTGAGATGATGAATTAACATTGTTCTGTGCCACTGTGTTTGAGTGCCTTGTTTCAAGAACAGTAAGTGGCAAACAAGCAGGCCCTGAAACAAGGGGAACTAGCCCTAAGGGCTGGGAGAGCTGGCCAGATGTAGGGTCACCTGCAGGAAGGACAGGCAGGTCGGCTTTTATTAGAAACAGCCAATGGATCACTTAGGTTTGAATTAAGGTAAAGGTGCCAAACCCAAAATTTAGAACAAGGCCCACTGATGCAGTATGGGGATAAATTTGGGGAAACTTGTAGGTAGGGACAATTCCAGCACCTATTCCCTTAAGATGAGATGGCAACATGTGACTAATCTGTGGGGATTTGTGCAGTGGAGCCATTATAAATGTTTGGGGACATAATCCTAATCGTTTGGGTGGATGACCAGCATTTTTAGCTGGTTTAGTGAGCCCTGGTTTTGACCCAATATGGTAACTCATGAATTCTCAGGAATTTGGAAATATTCTAGTCCACATGTGATTCAGGGACCCTAAGACTAGACCTGTCATGTCAGCTTTGAGTCATGACGGAAACTGAGACCAGAAGGAGAGTCCAGCATTTAAAGCAGGTTTTAAACACACATTTTTTTTAAATATTTGTTTATTTATTGTGTATATATACAATGTTCTGTCTGTGTGTATCCCTGCAGGCCAGGAGAGGGCACCAGACCTCATTACAGATGGTTGTGAGCCACCATGTGGTTGCTGGGAATTGAACTCAGGACCTTTGGAAGAGCAGGCAATGCTCTTAACCGCTGAGCCATCTCTCCAGCCCCCTAAACACACATTTTCTAGAGACAGGGTATCTCTGTGTAGTTCTGTCTGTCCTGGAACTCTCTAGACCAGGCTGGCCTTGGACTCAGAATCCATCTGCCTTTTCCTCCCAAGTGCTAGGATTAAAGATAGTCTTGTTGTGTGTCCCAGGCACCCACCCTGTGCTGTCAACAGGCTTCTGGCTGCCACAGCCGCCAAGTGCTAAGATCACAAATGCATGCCATTATGTCCAGCTCACGTTGTCGGGCATTGGATTTTCTGTTTAAGATTTAATTTGTGTGAGTCTGCCATGGGCAGGCGTTAGACCTGCAGAAAGCTAAATCAGATTGACAACTGTATTACAGAGCCGGCAGCACTGAAAATCTGCTGCCTGCCCCTGTTGGAAGCACATGCAGGAGACTAAGTGTGCTACACTGCAGAGACATGGGTGTATTTACACCTGCCCAGGTGCCCATTTATGGTAGAAAGCTCTGACAGGCATCACTACCAAGTCGCTAAGAACTTACTCCTCTGTCTTATAATCAGAAATGTCTTGGACCACATACAGACACATCTGTGAGGTGTCTGGAATACCTCACTATTTGCCATCAATATGGACATACTCCATTCTCAGATTAGTGCTATTAGTCATTTTAAAATACAAGCTTCCAGCCGGGCGGTGGTGGCGCACGCCTTTAATCCCAGCACTCGGGAGGCAGAGGCAGGCGGATCTCTGTGAGTTCGAGACCAGCCTGGTCTACAAGAGCTAGTTCCAGGACAGGCTCCAAAACCACAGAGAAACCCTGTCTCGAAAAACCAAAAAAAAAAAAAAAATACAAGCTTCCTCAGCAATAGAGGTAGCCAATTACTTTGCTAACTCGGGCAATTTTGTAAAGCATAATTCCTTATGGGGCTCTTTTAAATCTGGAGCTCCTCATAGGAGTAATCATTTGCTCTTGTTTTCCCTTCTAGTCATCTTCAAATGTTTAGGATTTGCTATCCATTCAGCTCAGAGAAATATTCATGTTTTTTGGTTAAACAATAATTTTTAAATGACGGGCAGTGGTGGCGCTCACCTTTAATCCCAGCACTAGGGAGGCAGAGACAGGTGGGTCTCTGTGAGTTCAAGGCTAGCCAAGTCTACAGAGCTAGTTCCAGGACAGCTAGGGCTGTTAACAACACAGAGAAACCCTGTCTCGAAAAATCAAAAAAAAGAAAAGAAAGAAGAAAGAAAAGAAAAATAATAAAAAAGGAGATACAGCTCAGAGTATAACAAAGCTATTCTGGGTGCATCCTGGAGATCAGAGCCCCAGGAGGGTTGTCTCCAGAATGTCCCTTGCTGCTGTGTTTCTGCTGTATTTGGCATGGTGTGATTACTGTATGACTGGATCCCACTGTATCTAGTACAGTGTGATTGTTTCCTGGGAAAATCTCACTTCTCACTGGGCAGTTTACTTGCAGACCATAATGAGGATGTCTTTTATAAAAACAATAATAATTACTTAGATCTATGAATTAATTGAACTTTGAGTTTAAGATACAGGTGGTTAAGACAGTAAAGATGATTAGGGAAATGATTTAGGTTATTCTCCAGTTGCTCCAATAAAAGATACAAAGAAGACAGTATAGGCTAACCCTTTGTTAGACGTGAGATCTACAGAAGACAAAAACAGTAACAAGGAAGTTCCATGCACTATAGACCCGTGAGTTCTGCCTGTGGAGAAACAGGCTGATGATCAGAGAAAACAATTCCGTCCCTACAGCCAGGTTTGGCCTGAGCCCCTCTATCATGGAGCTTACAGAATTAGTCACAGGCCCTGGTGTGCACCTTGAAAAAACCAGGTTGTGAAAGGAGAGTAAATGACCCTGTTGTGTAAAGGAAAATAGGTGGCGGACTGGCCACTGTTGAGTGTTTCTCTAGAGCAGAAAACAGAAACGTGTTGCACTGAGACCGCAGACTGCGGCCTGCCAGGACAAAGGAGCTGGACTACACTTGGCTTGCTTAAAACTTTGTTAATTGGTTATAAAAGAACCGTTGCTTTGGGGTGAAGAACATATAACTTGTGTTCTTACTGTGATTTTTTCTTGCGTAAAGATTTTAATTTCTTTTTGAAAAATATGTGGCTTATGGCTAATGAAGTAATCTTTTCATGCATAGAAATCTTTGTATTAGGAGGTATAAAAGGGATCAGAGAAATAGAGAGGAGGAAAGATGTAAAGGAAAACATTGGAAAAGAAGGATAAAGAGGATTAGGGGAATGTTCAAGGGGAAACAACTGAAGAGACAAATGGGGTAGAAGAACAGAACAGAGAAAGATAGAAAAAGAACAACCAATAGGTCCTCAGAAGAAGTCTCCTGTGTGCAGCTCTGCTGACACCACACCTCCTTTGCAGTTTCTCTGAGCTTCTGAAAGCAGGTCTGCACAGCAGCACCACAGATGCTGTGTGCTTTAAAGAAATGGGGAATGAATCAAGATGCTTCCCTCTCCAGTCCACACGGCACTGCTCCGTGCTGTCAGTCGCCAAGGACCCCAGCTGCTGCACCCAGTACAGCCTGTCTAGGAGGACCCTGCTTCTGGGTCCTGCCCTTGCACATTTCCCTGATGCTCGTTTCGTTGTGGTCAGGAAAAATGCAAGGGCTGTTTGGAGTCTGGCTTGTCCCACGTGTGGTGGGGCTGTCACTGAGACCTGGTGCTAAGGTCATTTTCCCATTTGTGTTCCTCTCAGATCGACTCATGGTGCAAAGAAAACAGCTATGTGATCGCCGGCTATTATCAAGCTAATGAGCGTGTGAAGGATGCCAGGTACGGGTTGCACACCTGTGGATGGTGGGGTTGGAAGCCATGGAGCCATCCCTGAGGTGCTTTTGACACCCCCCACCCCCCCACCCCGGCTTAAGTTTCAAAGCTTGTGTAAGCCCCCACTCGCTTTATCAGGTGTGTGGGCAACTGGCCAGATAAGTAGCTAGGAATTCATCCATGGCTCCTCTGTCATGCAGGGAGGGAACTTAAAGAGGGGGAGCAGCAGCCAACCCTGCTTGTGTCCACCAGCCTGTTGCCTCTCCAAAACAAGAGGCTGTGGAATGGAAGGCAAAGTAGCTCTCTTGCGTAAGTAAAGTGGTTTGGGATTTGGAACTGTTAGAATGGGACCTTTGGTAAAAGTGTGGTCTTTGGCGCCTTAATTGGCACCAGGTTCCTGCACCAAAGATGCCACCACCTCAGCTCTCTTGAACAGTATGATAAGTTAACTGTCTGCTGTCAGCTTCAGACTGGGTCCCAAGAGCCTACCAAAGGACACCTTCAGTCAGGGCAGCTTAAGGAACTCATGGACAGGCTACTCAAAGGGGGTGGGCCATAGATAGAACTCAGGACCTGTGTGCAGGGACCAAACAGGTGACAGCAGCCTCCATCCCTCAGCCCTCCAGGGCCATCGAGGAAGAGCTGGTAAAAAAGGCCACTTCCAGAGGAGCAACATCCTTTGGCCACAAGACATGGCCAGCAGCCAGCCTGATAGGGAAGGGAGGCCCAGATCAGTCAGTACTGATGTCCCTCTTCCATGCCCTCTGCTGTCCTCCAGAGGCTTCCTTTGGCTGCAGCCAGCTAGAAGCCAGGGGCAGCTGGAAAATACCCACACAGTAAGTACTGGGGTTTTCTTGTGTGGTCAGATGGAGCCAACAGACCCCAGTGTGCTTCTCTGGTATGGATGATGGGGTGGCCCACGGGCTCTTCTAGAAATAAAACAGTGAGTTGGAAAATCCTCACAACAGTCACTGATAAGGCTTAGGAGTATCCAAGAAATGTGCCCATCTTATCCTTGGAGGCCTACATCCAGACAGGGATTCTTATTAAGTAAGTTGATGGCCAGCTAGATGCTGGGCTCATTGGGTACATCAGGGCACCTTCTGGGACCACCCAGATCCTGTAGAAGCCCTGTACTCAGGTCCCATTTCTTCTGCCACCTCTTGTTCTCTGTGCCTTCTGGCCCTTATTCTGCCTCTAGGTGGGTGACAAGTACTGTTCAGCCTGTTACAAAAACTGCTCTGGAGAAGGCTGTGGATGCCACACAGCTAGCCCTGTGCAGAGCCATGTGGGCCCTTCAGTTGACCTGTGAGGACCCTGAAGGAAAGCGGCTACAGCAGCTAAAGTTCAGGCCTACCCAGCAGCATGGCTAGAGAAGCTTTGTCAACATGAGATACGAGTGTCACTCGTTGGTCAAACTAGGATGGCATCAAATTGAAAGCTCACGGCATAGAGAAGATGTGAAATGACTTAGAGTCCTAAAGGTGGCTTGGTTTAAAAAGAGGATTTGGTTGCCAGGGCCCTGAACCTACTTGGGTAGCAGGCATGTAGAGACTCAAGCTCATATAGTCCACAGCCCAGCGGGTCATCAGCCTGCCCTAGGCAGCACTCCATTAAGTCCCAGAAGAAGGAATAAGCCCCATCCTTTTAGGAGGTGCCCTCAGGGTTCCCTCTCCAAGGCCCGCTCTGGCAATGTGCCCCATGGTCCCAGTGGCATTCATAGCCCCCAAGTCATCTCAGTGAGCCACTCAGTCAGTTGGCTCCATTGTTGCCTGTCAGTTCAGGTGTTGGTGAACTATACTGACAGAGGGCCTATTTGATGACTTGGTTACAGTATGTATGGTAGAGCTCATGGGTCCTTCTCTACAGCCCAAACCAGGTGGCAGAGAAGGTGGCCTCCAGGATCGCTGAGGGCTTCAGTGACACTGCACTCATCATGGTGAGTCTCATTCCTGCTGCTGCTTAAGCTTCCCTCGTGTCCCAGCTCCGGGCCTCAAGTGTTCCATCACTATAGTGGGCTGGGTACTACTGCAGGCACAGCACTGCGGTGGCAGGGACCACTGAGAAAAGCCAGTGTATCCTAGGGAGTCGGGGAATAGCCTATGTAGTCTTAAGAGTGAAGACTGGGCAGTGGTGGTGCACACCTTTAGTCCCAGCACTCAGGAGGCAGGTGGATCTCTGTGAGTCCGAGGCCAGTCTGGTCTACAAGAGCTAGTTCCAGGACAGCTAGGACTGTTACACAGAGAAACCCTGTCTGGGGGAAGAGGAGGAGTCTAGTTGTTGGAAAGGTGGGGAAGTGCCTCACACTCACTCTGCTATAGAGTTCTCTTGGTGTGAGCCTGTCTGTGCTATTGGTGCTGCTTGCATAGGAGCCCAGGAAGGCATTGCTCTTCTCAGCCCCGTCCTCATGCTTGTCACGACCTCATCTTCTCAGGTGGACAATGCCAAGTTCACGATGGACTGCGCAGCACCTACAATCCATGTCTACGAGCACCATGAGAACAGGTGGCGATGCAGAGACCCACACCAGTGAGTGCAGTGCCCTCCTACAGGGCCTAGACTGTAGGGCTTCTATGAAAGACGGGGTCTGGGTGGTACTTGCTGGTCTCCACACGGACCCATGGCACAACACTCCTCCTGTGTTTGGTTTGATTTCTGATGACATGGATTCTTCAGCCATGTCCCTCTAGGTTCTTCAGTGCCCTGTTTGGAGGGGACCTGTCCATTAACAAGTGTCTTGGGTCCATCCTTACGTGTTTCCCAGCAGCTGCTCTGTCCTTAGCAGCCTGTGTGGTCTTGGGGTGGGCATGAGGCTGATTCTGCTGTCTGCCCTGCAGCGACTACTGTGAGGATTGGCCAGAGGCACAGAGGATCTTAGCATCGCTCCTGGACAGCCGTTCCTATGAAACACTTGTGGATTTTGATAACCACCTGGATGACATTCGGAACGACTGGACAAACCCTGAGATCAACAAAGCAGTTCTGCACCTGTGCTAGAAGAGAGCCACCACAACTGGACACTGCATTACAGAGAAGAGAAAAACCTATTTTTAAATTTCGAGTAATAGTGGACTAAAGTCTGTGGTGTGTGCCTTGGAAGGGAAGTCCAATCGGCATCCTTCAGGGGAAGGGGAGTCCAATCGGCATCCTTCAGGGCAGGGTTGTGGAGAGGTGTAGGCCGCCTAGGCTTTGGGTTCTTTTTCTGTGCTGCCCAGTCCTGCCCATCAGAGCTCTTTCTGCTTGTCCCAGTTGTTCCCATTAAACAGTTCTAGCCTTTTATAATCTAGAAAGGGTGCATTTCCGTCTTTACTCTGGTGAGTGTGTAATGCATCAGGCAGCCTCGTGGACTGTTGGAGCATCATCTGATCAGCCAAGTTGGTGTCAAGGCTAGGAGCTGTGGGCTCCACAAAGCTGCACAGGGGAAAGAGCCAGCACCGCTGCCTGAGAAACCTCACTGTACAGTGAACACAGCACATTGGTAATGAGAACCAAGATGCCATGAGGAGAGGAAGCTGAGACCTTGAACATTCCCAAAACCTGACTCAGCTGCTCTGGGTCTTCAGAGTGAGACCTGCTTTGTATTTAAAATAAACAAAAAACAAACATACAAAAAGAAAAAAAAAAAAAACCCTAGTGTTCAGTGTCTCTGGGATGTCCCAAGCAATGTGCTTGTTAGCTTGGATCATTTGACCAAGTGTTCTGACCATCTTAGGAAATAGTAAGAAGACTTTTGGTGCATTGTATGTTGTCCTTTGAACTGTTACACAGAGAAATAGTGCCTTTCCTTAGGCTTCATGAGGCTGGTGGCAAGGGTTGGTGACAGCATTCTCCCCTTCATTCCAGCACCTCTTCTTGCCTTTAACTGTTTTGTTTTGCTCTTGATATTGTTTGTTGGCTGGGGGAAGTGTTCAGTTTCGGTGACTAAGAATATACCTTTGCCGTCCTGATTGACTTGGTGTTGGCTATCATGTGGAGGAGCCTGGCCTTGAACGTGCAGTGATCCCTCTGCCTTTGCTTCTCAGTTACTGTGATCAGCACCCCTCCCAGCTCTCCTTAACCTTTCAAACTGACCTTGTCAGTTCCTGAACTAAGGAAGGTTGAGACACCAGTCACCATCCTTCCTCACCCTCATACAGAGAGGGCTTTTCAGGCTCCTCTGTATCTGAGGACAGCCGTTGGCATGTGCTGGAGCCAGAGTTGGGCAGCAGCTCACAGTTCTTCTGTCCAAGCCAGATATGGTGCCCATGCCTGTGTCCTAGCACAGAAGGGGAGGATCTCAAGTTTGAGTCCAATTCTTCGTAATGAGTTTCAGGCCAACTGTAGAGTGAGAACACGTTCTGAAAACGAAATCTGAGGGCTGCAGGTCACTTGCGTACCTTGTCTTCAGGGACAACTCCCTTAGAGCTGCAGCTGGCAAACAGTTCTGTATAACTCGCACGTCAAAGAACAGGAAGCTGAGGCAAGAGCTGAAGCAGAAGCCATGGAGGAACTTACTAGGCTCGTTCTCTGAGGTTTGTTCAGCCTGCTTTCTTACATGATTCAGACCATATGCCTGAGAGTAACACCACTCAGTGGGCCCTTCCACGTCAATCATTAATCAAGAAAATAACCCACAGACCTGTCTACAATCTCATGGTAGCAATTCTTTAATTGAGGAAGGAGGTGACTAGACTATTATCAAGTTGACAAAACTAACCTGCAAAGTATTTGTCAGGATTTTCTAGAGAAACAGTTGATGGGAGTGTTTCTTATTCTATAGATACATTTATGTAAAATGGGATTTATTAGAGTCACAGGTAATGATCCAACTATTCCAACAATATCTGGCAACCAGTGGATAATTCAAGAATCCAGAGTTCAGGGCTGGAGAGATGGCTCAGTGGTTGAGAGCACTGGCTGCTCTTCCAGAGGTTCTAAGTTCAATTCCCAGCAACCACATGGTGGCTCACAACCATCTGTAATGAAATATGGCGCCCTCTTCTGGCACGCAGGTATACATGGAGGCAGAATGTTGTATATATAATAAATAAATCTTTAAAAAAAGAAAGAATCCAGAGTTCAGTCCAGAAGACTGGATGTCTCAGCTGGTCTTAAGTGTACACTGAAATCACAAAGAAGTAGGCTCTAATGCCATTGAAAGAATGGACTTGCCAGTGTGGGCAAGAGTAAGCAGGCAACAAACAAAAGCTTCTGTCCTTGTTCTTTATATAGGCTGCCACCAGAAGGTGTGGCCCAGATTTAAGGTAGATCTTGCTACCTTAAATAATAAATCAAGGAAAATCCTCACAGATGTACCCAGCAGCTTGGGGTTCAATTAATTCCAGATGTAATCAAGTTGATGACCAAGAATAGCCATCACAAGCAGACAGTTGTCCCTTGTCAACTTGACATATAAACAGCACTATTAAACCATAACCTTTCTGTTCTTGTTTACCCCCAAGTTGCTTTGGTCAGTTGTAGCACAGCAATGGAAACTAAGCTAAGACACCATTAACAAGTATAGTAAAAACTATCAATATAAAATTTTCTTAAACATCAGAAAACTAGAAAGGATTTTGAAGGTCTTACCGTAAGGCAATGATGAAAAGGTAGGCCTATATCAGTTTAAAATTTTTTTAATGAGTTTTCCCCTTAATTTTGTTTGTTGGTTTTTCTGAGAAAGGGTTTCACTGTGTAGACCAGGCTGACCTCGTCCTAAAGATCTACCAGCCTCTGCCTCCTGGGTCTTAAAGGAATTTTTCACTTCTACAATTGCCTTTAAGGATTAAGGATACTGGCAGACAGTGGTGGAACATACCTTTATTACCAGCACTGGGAAAGCAAAGGCAGGTGGATCTATGTGAGTTTAAGACCAGCCTGGTCTAAAAGTGAGATCCAAGACAGCCAAGGCTACAAAAAGAAACCCTGACGTCGTCGTGTGCCCCCCCCCCAAAAAAGTGCCGGGCAGTGGTGGACATGCCTTTAATCCCAGCAGTGGCAGGCAGATCTCTGTGAGTTCAAGGCCAGCCTGGTCTACCAGAGCTAGTACCAGGACAGGCTCCAAAGCTACAGAGAAACCCTGTCTTGAAAAGAAAAAAAAAACTAAGACCAGGTGTGGTACTTGTTTTTAATCCCGGCACTCTGAAGGCAGAGACTGGCAGATGTCTAAGAGTTCTAGGCCAGCTTGATACATAGATGCAAGACAGCCAGAGCTATGTAGAGAGACCCTGTCTCCAAAATAAAAAAGGATACTATCCAGGCATGGTGGCATACACGCATAGTCCTGACACAGGCTGAGAAAATTGCCACAAGTTGAGGCCAGCCTGGTCTATATTGTGATTTCCAAGACAACCTAAATCTAGAAGAAGACTCCAAAAAAAAAAAGGAATAATACTAAAGGATGCTAATATGGAAAAACAGCCTCATCGGAAACTGCAGCTGAGGAAAAGCTGACTGCTAATTTAGGGGTGTGGGAGTGGCTCTGCAGATAAACACACCCCTTCAAGCCTAGCAGTCTGTGTTCTGTGCCTGGGACCCACTGTTAGAAAGAGGTTGTCCTCTGACCTCCACACGTGCACATAACTGATAAATAAATGTTATTTTTAAAGCCTTTGTGTAATTGGCATCATTTATTCTAGGAGCTTATTTTTCTGATGTCTGGAGAAACTTATTTCCGTATGATATTTCCCACTTCTGAAACGCCTGCTTTGGGCAGGATCTGTATCTCAGCTTTGGCAGAAAACTCAGTGGAGTGCTGCCCTGCCAGCTCACAGATGAGAGCATGGAAGGGGTGTGTGTGTGTGTGTTGTGCATAATTGAACCTGGGGCCTCATAACATGCTCATTGAGCTTTCTACCCTGTGAGCTAAATCCCCAGCCCTGTAAATACTTCTTCAAATTGGCTTGCAACTTCTCGTGTGCCTGTGATCCTCAATGGGACCGCTGTCATTCCTTCAAAGCTGTTTCTGTAAGCCTCCATCCCCCGAAGACTAGCTGCCTGAAGAACCACTCCTTGCAGGTTCCTGAAAGGCTGCAGTCTGAAGGGCTCGCTCTGGATCGATCGACTTCTCTGTTGCCTCTGCTTTCCAAGCAGGCAACACCAACACAGCTGAGACCTGACCCGTACTGGAGGTGAGCCTTGGCTCAAACTGTTGCAAAATGGAATAGCATGCTGTGTTGAGTGCTGGCTGCGAAAATTCCAGATACCTTCATAAGTCTAATGAATTAAACTTCCAAATACCTGTCACTTCCATGGGCAAAGCCCCCACCCATCAGGAGGAACTAGGAGTGGGGAGTCAACTGTTCAGCCTCAGGATCATCCTCACCTCCAGGTTCTCTGTCACCTCCCCCTGGGAAGGAACTGGGTATTTGTGAATGGATTCATTCTTGAATACTCTCTGGACTTCCGGCAGGCTTCGCCTCTTTGGGTGATGGCTTATAGAGCCTGGCAGATAGTGCCAACAGCCCTATAGTACTCTGGATAGTCCAGAATGGGTTAGGTGAATCCCATTTGCCACTTGACTCTGTGGCCCTGAGCATTTTACTGCCCACAGCCCTCTGATAACATCCACCTAGAGGGCCATGCGCAGTGGAGAGAATATGCTCATGCTGGAATATATTCAGGTGGCGTTGAAAAAGCTTTTAGCTGCTAAGTGTTCTAACATCTAGAATGTGTCACTGGTCAGATGCATCCAAGGGCACCACCTGGCCATAGACAGCAGTCAGTACTGAAAGGGTAAGAGGATAAAATATTCAAAAGCTGGCACAACTTTCACATCGTCCCACTGTTTCTATCAGCTGCCCCTTCAGCTAGTGTTGGTTTTGTCTCCATCTACAGACGCGGACACCAAAGCCTGCTCAGCCTGCAAAAATAACTTAAGTTCGCACAACAGTAAGTGATGGGTAGAGGAGGGGTTTTGAGCTGGCCATGCCTCTACCGGAGAGAGTAGCTCAGTGCTGGCTTGGCATGCGTGAGTGAGACTCGGGTTCAATACCCTGTACTGCAGAAAACCCTCTCTCCGCTCTCGGTTCCCTTCCCGCCCCGGCCCAGTCCGAGTACCTTTATTACAGAGCCAACAGGAAATGAGGAACGGACAGGCACTCAGAGCTGCAGCAGCCTTGCCGGCCCAGAGGTGGAGAATGAGAGGTGTAGTGGGTAACAGTCTCTGCTCCAGCCCAGGGGATGGAAACCTAAGGAGACTGGGGCCCAAAGCCAGCGTTTGCAGCCAACAGAGCCACAGTTGGTTTTGTTTGGTTCATTGTCTCCTGTGTAGTGCAGAACAACTCAGCCCTCCTGCCTCTACTTCCCAAATACAGGCGTGCCTGGCTGGCACCTGATGTGCAGCCAGGACTTAGGTATGTTTTTATCTAAATATCAAATAATACAGCTTCTAAACCAGGTGTGGTGACCCATACCTAGCACTTGGGAGGAAGAGAAAGGAGTATTGTGGGGTGGAAGTTAGCCTCGCAACATAGTGAATTTGAGGCCAACATGGACTCAATTACAAAAAAACCACAAAGGGGAAAAGTACTACTTCTAGGTACCCAGGGATTATGACCTCAAATTTGGCATGGATTTTTAAACAGGATGCATACAGGCGTGATCGATTGTACTACATTAAAATTAAGAAACTTGTTCATAAAAAGGACAGTTAGGCTGACATTCAGGAAAGCGGGACTGGAGAATGGCCTAGAAGGTAAAGTGCTGTGCAGCCATAAGGACCGGAACTCTAATTCCAGCACCCACGTGAAAAGCCAGACAGGCCGGGCAGTGGTGGCGAACATCTTTATTCCTAGCACTCTGGAGGCAGAGGCAGGTGGATCTCAGTGAGTTTGAGGCCAGCCTGGTCTACAAGAGCTAGTTCCAGGACAAGCTCCAAAGCTACAGATGAAACCCTGTCTTAAAAAAAAGAAAAAGGGGCTGGAGAGATGGCTCAGAGGATAAGAGAACTGACTGCTGTTCCGGAGGTCCTGAGTTCAATTCCCAACAACCACATGATGGCTCACACCCATCTATAATGAGATCTGGTGCCCAGAACACTATATACATAATAAATAAATTTTAAAAAAAAAGGAAGGAAGGAATGAAGGAAGGAAGGAAGGAAGGAAGGAAGGAAGGAAGAAAAGCCAGACAGAACCACAAGTAACTGTGACGCCAGCACTGCTAGGTCCCTGGAGCTCGCTGGCCAGTTTAGCTGAGTCAGAGCTCTGAGTCAGTAAAGAGACCCTGTCCCAAAAACTAATGTGGATTGGCTGGAGAGTTGGATGAGCAGTTAAGAACATGACCTGAGTTAGGTTCCCAGCACTCACGTTGTCTGTAACTCCAGCTCTAGGAATCCAACACCGTTTTCTGGCCTCTGCAGGGCACCCACACACACATGCACAGTGTACAGTGACAGTCACAGTGTACTGCCATCATGTGCTGGCACACCTGCTGAGGCAGGCCCACTAGGCGTGTTCATGTGACCAAAGGGCCACTGGCCCCAGAAGTGAGAAAGGGGCTGTGTGCATTTTAGGGACTGAGGAGTGAGTGAGTGGGTGGGAGAGTTCAGAACTTCAGGTCACTGAGAGCATCCCTCCACAGCTGCTTCCCAAGACCCTCATGTCCCATCCCAGCATCCCAGAAAGCTGTAGAAGCTGCCCAGGAGCCCTGCTGATGGCCAGGAGCCCTGCTGATGGCCAGGTGCCCTGCTGATGGCCAGGTGCCCTGCTGATGGCTGCCTTGCCCCTGGACTGCTTCAGTGCTCCAAGCTCAGTTCTCAGACCTCCCTTTTCAGTGTCTGATCTGGACTAATAGCCTCCGATGTTTTTGTTTCCATGATGGGGTTTGAACCCAGGGCCTCGCACATGGCAGACAAGACTCTTACTGCACTATTATCTCCGCTACCACATTCAATCACCGAAGCCTTCCTGGGATCACCGTTTGGGAAAATAGAGGGCAGGCAGAAGAAGGGGTGAATGGGGACCCTTCTACAGCAACGCATGAAGAGCTGTATGTAAATAG